CATGTACCACATGAGGTGCGAATGACAATAAAGAAACTCTGACTCTGACTCTCTCTGACTCTTGTGTTTCAAAATACCATCTTGGTAAACTCCTGCCTTTTCCTCACTGGTGGAAACTTGTTTTGATGAGTCAAACAGTAAACTGGACAAAGTGTGAAGGTGCTGTTACCTGCTGTCGTTGGAATAGTCGATAAATCCGCTAAAAGACAAGCTCTCAGTCTCAAAGTAGTACTGCGTTTGCTCTGTGATGCAAACTTCCTTATTCATCGAGTTCGACACTTCCTCCTCCATTTCAGCTGCAGGATGACATGAAGTCAACTCCATTAAGTTTCAGCTGTGCCTAAACAACTTGAACGTATGATCACAGCAAACAAGTGACACATTCAGAAAACACTAATCAGAATCTCAGCTCAGAGCTGTTTCAGTCCCAATACATATTCAGAGGCACTAGAAGTCCATCAACCTAAAGATTTTAGGTATTTCTGTAGCAATATGATCTAAACTAATTCAACTACGTCATAAAGGTAAACAAAAAGCACATGCTGTAAACAACTACAACAAAAATATATTTAGATGTCTGATTTTTAACTCATTGTAGATATTGATTTCATTTGAAGGCAAACATATATATTTTAAGTGCCGTAGTAAGATATAAACATTTTCAATTAACAGAATATCCACATGAAGCTGCTTAAAATGAAATGTCAAACTATACAAGCATGGTTTCAAAATCAAGACGTAAACAAAAGGTTTCTGAACTAATATGAAAAAATAACAATTGTTTAGGCTCATTAAGCTAAAATGGCCATATCGTACAATAGTTTAGAATTCATAAATGTATTTATAGAGGGTAAGCATGCAAATTGAGGACATTTAAGACGCTGGCCAGGCAAACAAGAAAACATAAAGTCTGAAAAGACTCAGAAGTATCATCTAAGGACTGAAATATGATGTTTAAAGTAATAAAAAGCTGAATTAATTAATAAATTAAGGAGGAATTTCTGATATTAATAATTAATAAATAAAAATGTTGATAATTTGCAATTTCCTAAAGAAACATGGGATATACAAAGAGGCTGTTTAGTGGTCAATGAAACTAAGAAAAAAAATCTAGAATAAATATAAAGTTCATAAAATGGCAAACAGGACACGATCTTTCAAACATGGTAGTGTAGCAGCATGGTTTAGGCTTGTTTGAATTGTTTGATGGAGCTCAAAATTCTGAATCTCTGAAGAAAAGGGATTTTTTACTATAAAGAATGAAACCAAAGGATCCAGGACTGATTAACCAGATTGGTGCAGTACCAGGACTCATCACAAACAGAACCTTAAGATTCACACACATTTGTAGCCATTTAATGTCCTGCAAGGATCAATAAAGTACCCACCCAACCATCCACCCATCCAAGACTGGTATTAAGACTTTCCTTTGTGATCAATCCTATAGTTTGGGTTGGTCTGTTATGCTGCTAGGCTTAGATTACTGGAGAACAAATTGACCTCATTTCCTTAAATGAATTGTTAAAATTGAATAGTTTTCATTTGATATTATTCCTATCTTAACATGTGATTCTTGATCTGCCATTGTGTATCTGTTCCTCTCAAACCCAGCCGGTCGAAGCGGATGACCACTTGTCCTGAGCCTGGTTCTGCTAAAAGTTTTTTCCTCATGAGGGAGTTTTTCCTGTCCACTGTTGCATCTGTGCTCACTTAGGATAGGAGACTGCAACGAAGTGAAAACTCAAAGCAATCTGCTGGCTCCTTGATAAATATTGCTATTAACTGATTTTTATGTATGTGAATGTTTCTCTTCAGTGCCCTGAGATGACTTCTGTTGTGAACTAGTGCTATAAATAAACTGAATTTTGTTTTTCCTTCCAAATTTTAGTATATATTTAAAAATCGGATACAATTTTAAGATTCATTCACACAATATACGGACTCTGTCTTATCTATTTTTTAAATCACATAACTTACTAGTTTCTAATTTGATAGTGTGCAGAGAAAATGTAAAACTATTTGAAGATGCTTTATTTGATAGGAGCTAAAAGCTGAACAAAAGTGTAACAATTAGAGAGCCTACAGGCACTAAAATGCTACCAAAGGGACAACATAATTACAGCACAAAACATAATTATACAAGAGTTACTCCTTCCAGAAAATAACTAAATAAAACATACTGTCGATTCAAGGAATTCAGCTGTCACAATCATTTAGAGGGGCACCAAGAATGTCAATGCCTGACATTTCAATAACTTTGTAAAAAAAAAAAAAAAAAAAAAGGATAAAAACTACATCCATATGTTTGAATTTTAAGTCAACATCTTCATCACAAATCCAGCCTGTCATTTGGATTTGTTTTAAGCTGTTGGTGATCTGCATCTTCTAGTACCTCATTTGTGTCCTCAGAAGACAGACAGAAACACATCGCCACATGGGTCTGGTTCACATGTGCAGCATGTGAATTCTTCTGAAGAGGAGCGTTCATTTTACATCTGTGTGAAGACCATTGCACCGCAATCTGTTCAAAAGCTTCTAAAGCCTCTTTAAATGAGCAAAAAATCCTAATTTAATCCCCTGAAGAACAGCCTTCAAATGGTACAAAGTGATGAGAATCACTATAGGTGGGACTTTAAAGGGAGCTCACCTGCATCAAGAAAACTGGGGAACGTGAAGCTGATCAGCAACTGTTGCACTATTGACCTAAAACCAAAAACAAGTCCCAAAGATTAAAATGAAAATTCAAACAGACTTAAGCACATATGTAACTCAGAAGATTAGCTGCATCTTATATCAATTAAAAACTTAATAATGTGGTGTGGTCTTCAAATCCACGTTTACAGGACATACTGTAACGCAAGCTGGTGATGACATCAGAACAGTGAGATTGAGCATAAATCATCAGAAGATTTTGTGGAATCTTAACCGCCGCGGGAATAATCTATCTATTAAACAGATGCTGTACAGTACGGCCGTGCAGAGGAGCAAATCCTGGCCTGCTTTTCATTACAAACTGGGTGGAAGAATTTACAGTGCTGGCTTTAAAATGTATAAGTTTGTTCTTAAAAAAAACAGCAAGACTCACCAGGTTGCAGCTGTGGCCCACCATCCTAAATTCAGAATATCTGCTATTGTTGGCTAGAAGAGACATAAAAAATGAAGATTAAAAACCACATAAGGACAAATATTTGATTGCATTCTCGTTGTTTTTACAATGGCTGCACACAGTCCAGTTTCACCTGGCACAAACACCAACAGGCTCTGCCAATGATTTCATTAGTTTCTCTTCTTTGAGAGAAATCTGATCAAAATCCTCATCGGCAGATGCAAGAATAAACATGTAAACAAAAGAGCCAGTGAGCAAAAACAAGAGCAGCGCAGGGTTTGAATAAAACAACCCAAACATGCTGCTTTGATTACAGTTAGCATGCGAGGGCCTTGTTCGGAGGTGTACTTGCGCTACAGCTGACAGAGGATTGAGTCATCAAGGAGTTTTAACTAACCGTGTTAGAAGCCTCGCCGGCTGCTGACAGACTCTCTGATCAAACGATAAAGGAAGCTTTCATCCCAACTTGGTGAATCAACCGTGTTGTACACATTTGAGTTCAAGTTGGGAAATTACGTGGTTTTGTCCATCAGTGACGGGCTTGGGTTATAAATACTTGGGATTACTTTTGTCTTGGTTTTAGATATCAGCTTATTCCAAACTCAATTTTGGGAAAAGTCTGGACAGTGTGTAAAATTATAATAAAAATTGAATGCAACGATTTTCAAAGCTCTAACCCATTTTGTATTCACAATGAAGCATAAACGTGTTATGTTTACCAAGAAATTGTAGCATTTATTTAAAAAACTCCCTACAGTTCATTGTATCAAAGGAGTAAAAGAATTTAGAGAAATCTCTGTGAACCTCTCTAGAGGTTAAGGACGATGCTGAAAGTAAATTCTGGATGCCGGTGATCTTCAGGCCCATAGGTCATTAAAAACAGGTCTGATTCTGTTATGAACATCACTGCATGGGCTCAGGAACGCCTCCACAAATCATGGTCTGTAAACACATCTCACTGTGTCATGCACAAATGCAGGTTAAAATCCTACTTTGCAAAGAATAAGCCATATGTGAAGACCATCCAGAAATACAGCCACCTTCTTTGGGCCAAAGTCATTTCAAATGGACTGAGGGAAAATGGAAAATGATTCTGTAGCCAAATAAATCAAATTTAAAATTCTACTTGGAAACCTTGGATTCTACAAACTCCATACTTAATAAGAGAGGGACCATCCAGCCTGTTATCAGTGCATAGTGCCTCTCTGTCTGGCACGAGCTTCTTACACCCATTGTGTAAGACTTACACATACTTGTCTGGAGGACTGTGTGTTATTCCTCCTCTTAATTTGTTTTTTTCTTAGGTGCAGAATGCAGGCTGGTGCCAATTTGGAGTTTGAACTTGAACTGGTTGGAGAGTTGGAAAGGACCAATCAGGATCCCGGACGAGCCCCCAATTGTTAACACACACACACACAAACACACCCCCCCCCCCCCCCCCCGGGAGGAAAGTGGAATTAACAATTGGGGTACCCTGCACACCTCCACACGTAGGTCAAGTTTTGTTAGACACACTGGGTTGTGCTACCTTTGTGATGAGCCCCCAATTGTTACATCCCTCCCCCACTTTTTTTGGAGGCAGGGGACTTTTACAAGGACTCTGTCTTTTTATTGTGGATGACATATTAATACCCCCTTTCTCCAAAAAAAAAA